GTAGATGATGATGGATTACTTCAACCACCAATTTCAAAAACTTGAAAATTCCCTAAAAAATCCAGCATTGTTAAGACCTAAAAAATTTTTAATATTATTATCGTGGTTATTAATTCATATTTAATAATACAATTTGAGATTATATCCACTGTCGATTTAATCCCTTATTGCCAATGGTGCCGACGATAAGGGGGTATTACTCTGACATCATCTCTTAGTAATGCTATGGGAATGAAGGGGTAAAAAAGAAAAAAAGAAAAAAACTTTGCCAAGTTGTTACTTGGTGGAAATGGTTTCTAAGTAAACTGTTCATCGGTAAATCACTTCTAAAGAAGCAAAGTCATAAAGTTCTCCAAGGTCAAATAGTCTTCTTCTAAAGATCATCCAACGATGGTGTAATGGCATTTTAGTTGCTAGTCGAGGTCAAGTTAGAAAATAAAATTTAATTATTTAAAATTCTGAGTATTAACCGACGAATTCTATTAAATTATTTATGCGTTAGTATCTACCTCCCCCCCTTTTATAAAATTTTATCTTCTAGTTAACCAAGAAAAATAATTGCGTACATTCATAATACATTTTACTTTTCAACCCTTTCTAATTTCCCTCCTGTTTTTCGGAATTTAGACTATGCAGAATAGGAATTTTACGAAGTTATTATTATTATACGAATTCATATTTTGTTGTCGTTTGAAGCATTCTTTCGAATGGAAGGAGGGAAGAGGGGAAAAAAATTCGAATGCAATTATTATTCTCTTCAAATTATCTTATTATAGTTAATATATTCATTATTAACGAGAACAATTAAAGCACAATAGCCTTTATAACTAATTCCAAAATTATATAGTGCCAATCACTGGACAAGACATTGTTTACTATTGTTAATTACCGCGTAATAATCACGTGTCTTTTAAAGTATTTATGATAATAAATACATATTCCACTTGGTAAATAGGTAGAGATGAAAAAGGAAAAAAATCCCATCATTACAGTCTATTAAATTTATCGATAATTGTTCAAAAAATAAAAAGGAAATATCGAAGAAAAGAAAATACATCAATTGGGTCAAAAACCAATTAATCAGACAAGAACAAATTATCTTGATTTATGTTATATTATATCCATACAAAGCATTAAAATTCGAAAAAAAAATTAATAATAATAGTTATAATTCATTAAATTTACAATGATTTATATACGTAAAAAAAAATTCACTTAATTTACTCGACGATGAGTAGATTATTCTCTTAAGATTCGATTATCCTGTATGATAATTTTGTATTCTATACGTGACTTATCAAGAAAGGTATTGTCGACAATTATTTTAAACTATTCCTCTTCGTTTTATTTATTTATTTATTTTTTTATTCTTTAACATCACATCAATCCTACGTGCATATCTTTCTTAAAAGAGGGGAGGGAAGTTTAATATCTAAAGGACATTTTACGTGGCTTTAGAGTTGAATGACATTATCATTTTAAAGGATAGTTAATTTTAAAACGGATTAATTTAAACTGTATATAATTTTAATGGCATAAAAGTTAGTTTTAATCGACGTGCGGATCAACTAATGGACTGATTAGAAGTGTTTCGAGTTCAATTAAAAGAATGGATGATCCATTATTCTCTTCATTCATCAATTATAGATTTTTATATCTTATATACAATAACTCCGCTGATGGGAACTGTTTTCTTGATCGGATGATAATGACATCGTAACAGTTATATATATAGATTTTTTTAATTTGAATTTTTTTAGAGGAGGGTCCATTAGATTGACGCCACCCTAACTTCAGTGATGAGCCTCGGGGTAGCCATGTTGGGTGGATTCAATCCGAGTGATGTTTACGGTCGTTGAACTAAACTCCCCTTCGACCTTATGTCACTCACGATGATTTCCGTCAAGAGTGAAGGCGATAGATAAGCACCATCTCGTTGTCGCCACTCGAAATTAGAACGTGATCCTGGTGTATTTAGATTAAACACAGAGATTCGACACGAATTAGTTTGTAAATATTTCTGGCTAAAGAACTTAAAGTTTGGCTAAATGGTGAAGATTCTTTCTTGAAATAATTGAAAACGAAAAAAAATAAGGAAAAAAGAAAAACGATGTTATAGTAGAATATTTAGGTTTTAATGATTCTAGTCTCGTGGCTTGACTCTCTTAGGCGCCAGCTTCGACTCGGTTCTTTCACGGTTCGTTTTTCTATAGATGAACGTCTGCTCTTTATGACTCTGTAATCATGCACCTTCCAACATATAAACCTCCCCTAACACCAGAGGGCAATTTATGCCTGCGTACACCAGTTACACAAACAGTAAGTCAAAGACATCATAAAGATATTAGACATCATTTCGGTCAATCGCAGCCAATCGAAATGCGTGAAAAAAAAAAAAGAAAAGAAAAGCTACTGATGTCTTGACATAGTCGATGGACAAATATGTGCCGTAATTACATATAGAAGAATTTGACAATTGCTCTTACCAACCTTGTCCGTGGTAAGAGGTCTTCATCGATTCTAATCTTAAAATGAAGATATTGACGTCATTTTTTAATATTTAAATTCGATAAGCCATCTCTGAAGTACCCGATATTGCACTTTTCTTTTTTAGACATTCTTAAACGTCTTAGAAAATTGTGAGTTTAGTTTTCATGAGGAATAAGACGAGAGTTGCATATCAATTATTTTGATCATGACATATAACTTGTTTTTTAATGATAAGTTGACTTAAAAAAGAATGCTATCTGCTCTTGACAGTTGCCAAAATCCCAATTGCGTTCAGTTTGAGAGGATGATTATGTTTAATTCGACTCAATTTCTATGTCTATATCCTACCTAACCGTAGATACAATTTTAAAACTAGTATTTAGTATAGATAATTATGAATAATTATATACTTTGTAAAAATATAAAGTTAGAAATTTAAAAATCATTTTCGAATAAAATTTCAATAATTGCTTACATTATTAAATTTCGTGCATTTGAAAATAAGAAACTCGTCATTAAGTAAGTTAGATGTGAATATATTTTTCCTGTTTCGTACGAATACGGTAAGTTCACCACATTAAATAATAATTAAATGTAAAGTAACAGACGTCGTTCAGAAAATTGCATTCCTTCTCGGCTAGGAAGTTTTAGCTAAAACTACAACAGATGTAAGAGAAATTACTTCACTATTATCATCCACATGATTTTCTAAACAACCTGTTATTTCTTGGGATGGTAGGAACACTATTCAGACACTTCCAGTCATTTTCTCAAGGTTGAAACCATCCTACCAAGTGCAATTTAATGCATTTGTTACTTCATATTTTCCTCGGGACGAAGGTTAAAGGTCAGCAGTCTCTAGACTTCCGTCCACTGGAAGAAGCTCAACGAGCTGCGGTCAGCGACCTGATACAATTGCAATGATGACATTGCTGTTGTTCTGCACCCAACAACCTTGTATGGGATGGGCCTGGGAATCGCCACATCGCTATACACCAGTTTCGATTATTCCTTCTGTAATCGTATCCTATTTTTTAAACATTATATTTTATACGTTAAAAAATTGTTTAAATAAAAAATATCATTAAACACAAGTAAGTTTATTAATAATTTAAATGTGGCAAATGGGTAAGGTGTATTGCGGTGAAGCATCTGGAAGTTAGAATTAAAATATGGGTTTTTCTAACTCGGCTCTTTAAATGCTAACAAGTTTAGTTAAGTGCAATGACATTGCTGGCTTCTCTTCGGATAGAAAATAGCATCTGCCTAGCCCAGAACCTCCAAATAAATCCAAGAGGCAGGAAATACATTACTACCTAGCGGAAGGTAGACACCAAAGATTTTATTGCTTGCAAGATGGCTTATAGACACGCAATGCTTTTACTAATGATACAATGTTTAGCTGGAGGCTGAGAAGGATGCATGATTAATGTACATTAATATGGGCGTTAGTGAATAACGCCATAACATACCAACAGTACAGTACACCACCGTTACTATACCGAAAAATAATAAACGGCTATGCAAATTCTTTTAAACAAAACTGCCAATTGCCTCTGTAAAAATATATTATTTTTTTATTTAATAATTTAATTATTTTATTGTTAAATATTTTAATATATAAATAATGATAATTATATATTATAACCATTATATTTGGTGAGATTTTTCCTTTATTTTTACAACGATGTTTAAATATTTGGAAGAGCAAACGGATGCTAGGTATCAATGGAATTTTCGCCCCTGGCTCAGCTCTCCTCTATCTTCTCATCCAATCTGAACGTACTTACGTCCCCCATCTCGGGTCGACCTTAGCTAAACGTCCTCTGTCAAGGTTGCTGTTGCTAGGGGGTGGAGGGACGATCCCCAGCAAAAGGCCCCTTTGTCCATCCCTTCACAACAAAAGAAGCTTTTCTTCGGACAAAGACAGCGATCTTCTATTGAGCGTTGTGTAAAAATAAATCTGTTATATTGCACGTGGATGTCAGGTTCTTAACATTCTCTCTTATGTTATTAATCATTTTCGGGATAACAATTTTACCATTGATTCAAATGCGGTTTGTAGTTGCATTAGCTGGCGACAGATGGCGCTCTCACGTGGGGTGGACCAGCTGCAAAGATTTAGAAAGTGAATTATGTTCAATGGAACATCTCGCATAACTAATTTCATTCTTTCTTCCCCACACTCACTCACGCCATTAGAAAAAAATGTACGTAATGAGTTAAAATACAGTTGAAATACACCTATGTGTAATTTAAGTGTTAATGATTAGTTAATAATAATTTTAAGGTGCGTAATGTAATTGCATAGAACGAGATTATCCGCCGTCAGCTGTAAGTTGTGCGAATAGCAATATTGTTTACATTGTAACGATAAGATGAGAGAAAGAGAGCAGCGAAAGTAAGACCACCAGACAGCCTCGGGTGACGTGTACTGGGGACTGGAAAGTGGCCTGGCCACTCGCAACAAACCTGTTTTCATCCAGTTACTAGCTTCGTGCTGTGCACTGACGTGCCAGTTGAGTGAGTGCTGCGAAACGAGCACCACGTCGCTATGTTGTGGATAGTGTGGATATGCCGATAGATAGAATAGTTTTTCACCACGGGATCTAACATGAACGGTATGTGATATTATGCCAACAGCATTTAATTTAAAATCTTGTAATATTTTTCTTTTTGCATATATACGTGCAAACTAGTTTGTATATAAATGATTGGTATTAATTTGTTACGAGAATGGATATTTGCAATTACGAGTACAGAAATAGGGATGTGGGCATTGTGACATGGACTAACACCTGCATCGATTTTTCTTCTTCAGAGTTCTACTTCGAACGTTCGAAGGAGGAGAAACGTTAAACAATTAGGTCGAGGACTGGGAAGTGTGCGTTTAGTACGTCAACCATGGCAGGATGTGCAGCCAGTGCTTACCTTTCGGCTGTCAAATGGAGCGACGATGGATACTATCTGAAAGAATTTACTCAAAAATTTACGCTTCCTCAAGTGGCCAAGATCATCAAAGGACAATATTTAAATCTCGGCGTGCCAAGTCTGTCGTCTCCTTCGCTCAATCAAATTGTTTTCTTCTCTTCTGCTGGCAAACGCATTAAAGTAGCTGCCCAATGCGTCAAGTTCAAGGATAATCGTAAAGTAGTCCCGATAGGGCCTAAATTGGCCATCCCCGACAACTACGATGGATGGTTCGAAATCCTTTCGGAAGAAGGCAAAGCTGTTCGTTGCATCGAGAGCGTTGCAGAACTTGTCAAGAGATTTCCAGAAACATGTTTAGTGAGAGAAAACGTTAAAGCTTACGTATCGAAGCACGAAGAATCCGAATGCGTCATGGATAAAGTGAAAACGGTGCACGCGGGAGAAACTTTGGTGCTGGTGAGTGAAGTTGTGGCATCGATCAGTAAAGGGAAAGGTCCTAACCGCTTCCTCAGGTGCTTCACCTCGACAGGTGAGAGTGTCTATTTAAGTCTCGAACAGAAGGGGAAGTTCAGTCCCGTAGCAGGTGAGGAGAATATTTCTGGTGTACATACCATCCAAACTCTTTTGTCTAAGCGTTTTCCTCTAATGGTGCGGTTAGTTCACGGTAAACCCCCTTTCGGACTGAAATCGCAATTTTTACCAGACATGAGACTCTATTCCTTGTTCGAAGAAGAATGCATCGTTGCGCTTCCTCTATTAAAAGATTCGTCCATTATATCTTTACCGTTGACGGCCGCATTGAAACTACAAGCACCTCGCAACGTAGACGTTTTGACCAAACTTCGAGAATACACTACGTTAACGGACAGATGTAATTCTTTAATGCAAGACGTATCGGATAGAATTCAAATATTTGACATATCTCTTAGTAAAGAGTTAAGAACTGAAACGAAATCGACCCAAATCCAATTTCATATGAACAGAAGACAGAAAAAGAATGCTAACGATCATCCCCTGAGGAGAAGCATATCTGATCCTCAGCAAATCAAAGGGGAACGTTCGGTATCCGCTAATCAAAAACCCGATCTAAATAACGATAATCGATACGACGAAATCGATCAGATATACGATTACGTAAGAGGATTCGCACCTCTTTCAGAAAAAATCAAAAGCGATTTCGAGACACCCGAAAATAAAACAGAGACTTCTCCGGTTGAAACAGAGGAGGAAAAGAAACCGGAACCACCACCCATAGAAACAATTCCAATAAGGAAATTCTCGTTAGATTCTTCACCACAGAAAATAACCATCAGCATCAGCAGCAAAGAAAAGGAAGAAGAGGATCACGTGTACGAGAAACTCAAAAACAGCACCAATCATCCGGTTAAACCCATAAGAATTCCCATAAGATCTAATAGCGCCGGAAGGCTTTATATTCCTAACGAACATAGTAACAAATATTTATCCAAAACACCGATACAACGCGCTAATCCTTATAGATCTCGTTTACTGAAACAATCCAAGAGCTCCCCTTTGTTGAAAGATGCACCGATACAGAAACCCAACCGAATTAAAACGTGTAGAAGCAACAAATCACTGACTACTTCCCCACTTTTTCACATAAGATATAAATCTTTAACTAATTTGGCAGTGGATTTCAATACACTAGATTCTAGTAATTCAGGAGGTCAAGCATCATCGGGATCGGACGAAAACAAGGATCAAAAGAACACCAAGGCAAATAAAACTAAATTATCCAGACCAAGATCGTTGACAAATTTATTTTGGGATCAGATCGAAAATCACAATAAGTATAATCTACTCCAGAACGATAAAATTAACGACGGAAGACCAGTTATATATTTGCACGACAATAAAATGAACAATAAACGAATCGGTACATTGTATCTATGAACGAAGATAAAGTTAGGTGAGTAATGTATATATGGTAGGATGTGATATTTGTTCGAATTTTCGATTAATAATTCTCAGTAGGAAACCTCGCTGACATGTCATTTGCTTTTTATTATTTTTTTTTGTCAAGCTGTGCCAACTTTTTTCACCTATAATTATTATTTTTTTTAACGATAAGCTTCGCTAATATTACATATAGGCCTAATGTAAATCTCAGTTTAATTGATAATCTAAATTGTAAATAAATTTGAATATTGCCATGAAAATTTACTAAAGTTTTAATAATTATAATACTCTTAATACGTAATAACAAAAGGAAGAAAATACTGTTGTCTTTAACTCTGAAGTGATAAATAAAGCTTGACTTATATAAGTTTCTTTAATTAAGAATTTTCTTGCATATATATATATATTTTTTTTTTTTTAAATGGCGGCTACACAAATTTTAATTGTCTCGGTTCTTGGTAGTAGAAAGGACTGGAGACGTAATGCTCACAAAGACAAAACTCCTGTTGAGCTTGGGTTCGAGATAAAAATCAAACCCCACGAAACAACCTTCTTTGCCACCCCCGTTTTTCGGAGACCGGTCTATCCAGCCTGGCTAAATAAGGACAGAGCTGAAACTCACTGGTTTCTAACTTTCTATCCGAACGAATAATAGGTAAAGCAATTATCCGAATATTTTCTGTCAGTTAAGTTCGACGTCCTTAACTTAAACAAATCTTAACTAATTCCAACGTTTCTGTAAGGCAAAAATCTAGACGATAAAATGGTTAACCTTGATTTATAAATTGGTTTAGAAAACAAAGGCACAATTGTCGAAAAAGTCGTAAAAATATTTTTATTTATTTATTTTTTTCGATGAAAACTTATAGACCTAACTAAGTGATCAACTATCCCATGTAGGAAGTAAAAGTTGTAGAGCAGATGGTTGACCTTGTAGAGTAAGACTGGTTAGGTGTTTAATGGACCACACCCTCTTCGACACGATAACAATTCTCATCCATCGATTGGCAAAAATGCATTCCAACACATTCTACATCTTTTATGAAGTAAATATTTCCAGTAATTATATTAAATATTGCTTTTCGTACGCACGGGTGATCACTGCAAATTATTTTGACAAACGTTCTGAAAGAATCACGCACTCGGTACATCCTCTTTTCATCTGAAAATGATGCACGCTCTACGATCACGAATTCAATGAAACTTCTACTCTCTTATTCACTAATATATATTAGTCATGCTATAGATTATAAGAAAACATGGAGGCAACATTACACATAATATTTACATATAACTCGAGCGTAAAGAATATAGACTATTGTAAGTAGGTCTAACTTACAATAATCATTCGATAAACGTAATTATTAATTTTTCCCCACCCCTTCTGTGAGCATCTATTAAGAAATTCATATTTAGGTTAATAAACCTCACATACAGTTAATCATAATAAAGAATGTAACCGATATGAAAAAGTAAGCCAAAACTTATCATGTTTATTGCATTAGCCTCAAAAAATTAATTTAACAATTGGCAAATATTGAATTTATATCGTCACTGAGTAAAAGAAAACGTAAATCGTCTTCGATCTAGTGATACGTTCCCTCCTTTTATTCATTTGGGATGAATAGGGGGATGGAGAATGATGGACAACGAGACGTAATAAAGTGGTCAGGTCGTAATAATATCAAGAGGGTTGACTTCACTCGTTGAATGCTACATCCTCAGGAAATGATGTTTCCTTTATACATAAAGGATTAAATTATCTGATTATTATTATATATTTTTTAAATATATTTTCTAAGCTTCGAATTTCGTAAACGTCACGTTTCTTTCCACTAATAATGACATTTATTGATGTATTTTAAGTGTTGAATCACTTGCCTCGTATAATGATACCATTCACGTAATTCGAAACTCTGATTTAGGTTATAATTGTTGCTTTATTGTATAATATATATTACTGTTAAACGTTATTAAAGTAAGATAAATTAGAATTATAATAAGTGAGCTTAATCTTATCACGTTTATGGTTTAAAAAAAAAGGTATAAATATTAAGGTATTCAATGACAAATTTCGAACCTTTTTAATACTTTTAAAGCTTAAATTTCTATATATTCGAGGGACCAAAATGACGAATGAAAGAACATTCCGTGATAGGCGTGTATTTGGAACCATCAAAAGAATGTCAATCGAATCGCCAATTCGTGATGTTCTATATTTATCGCTATTCTTGGCTTATCCCCGGAATATTAATTAAGATCATTATCTGAACGAATGTTTCCGAACTAATTATTGTATTGTTCAATGATTCTTTGTATAGGGTGGCCCGGGCGATCGTGCTGTCTTTAGTCACGATTAAACCGAATGTTTGACCTTTTGCTTATGCACAAAACTCAAAAGAGTGAGGACATTTTCTGATCAGTTTACAGATAATAAAATTTGTTTATAAATTATTATTATTATTTTTTAATTCTTTTCTAAATTATAAAATATACAATTTTTCGGTCTTCACACTAATTAATATATTTATTTATTTTCTTTTTAAGAAGTCGAAAATGTCACAAAAAAACAGGCGATGTTCAAATTACTTCTACAAGATGCATTGAGTAAACTAATCAGGAACTTCCTATTTTTCTCTCCCCTTTTTTTAATACTGAAAAAAAAATGTATACTAAATTAGTTTTTCGTGCTTACAAGAAGACAACGTGAAAATTTTTACTAAAAAGAATCCACTACTTTTAATGTAATGATTTAAAATTTATCATTAAGATAATCGCATCTTAGAGGAAAAACTATGGTTAATTGTTAATGAAGAAGAGGGGGAAACAAACCTTTCCACACCGTCCGAATGATGTCCTTTATTTAGGGCAATTTCAATCCTTTTTCCCTAAAAAAATCCCTAACAAAGAATATAATGGAACATAAAATAAAGCATTATTCCAACATTCTCCAATCAAGAGTGATTGATAAATCAATCAAACATGAAAAATTAGTAATGCGTAAAGCTTGTGATTTTTACCCTCCCCCCCTTCTCCCTCTGCTCACATAAATGCATTATATTATAGTATTACGGAATGCTGAAAAGTCCTTTGCCCTTCAAATTCTCCGAAATAATTACATCAATGACCCTACAGCTTTTATCAACAAGAATTTCCTGTCAGTGTTCGACAGGAATAAATATGACTCACTAAAAGATCCCAAAATGACATTAATTAGTATGCAGGACAATTATATTTTATTAAAGAATTCCAATTTTAATGTTGCATTTATAAACAATTTAATATACACTGTATAAAGAGAGTACGAAATAAAATCAATCATAATTCCATACCATTCACAATGTATCATTTCTATTATAAATTTGACAAATGAAGCATGAGTTTAAATGAATTTAATTGAGAGAAATAAACATAGAATCTTCAATTTATAATATGAATATGTTTGATAATATTATAATAGCAGTAAATTATAAAAACAAGAATATTAGAATTTCTTTAAAGGGCATTGTAAATTAAAAAAAAAAACACTACTTTTCCATNTAAACATCAGAAGAAAACTCAAAAACTTATTTTTAAAATAAAATTAGTATAAGTTTATTACGGTGGAGTATTATGAAAATTTCTGGTAATAAAAATCTTATAATTAGGAGCAAAATAAAAAAAATCAAATTCTTCTTCTCACTTGTAATTAATGCATAAAGAAAATGTTTTCCACTGTACAAAATATTTAATCTCGACTAATTAATCTGTATTTTTAAGTCGAAATTGTTTATGTTATCTTCATCAGATGAATAGGAAAATGATAGAAAAGAGCGAATCTGTCGTGCAAGAGCTCAGTGACACCATCATTCCAGTTGTTGACCTTGAGAGCTTCACTATTCTACCACTTTTGGGGATAACACACCTTAATATTTTACCCTTCTAGTTTTAAAATACGAACCGTTTTTTGACTTAATTTAGAAAAAAAAAAATAAGAATATATCTACATCAATTACGCATTCATTAAAGAAGAGTGTACAGACAAACAGATAGACTTTCCCATATCATCGTAAACTATTCTTTTCTTACGTTTTATTTTTTTAAGTATATAATTTACTCATTAAGGAAAGTTATTTATACTTTCGTTAATGATACGAGAAAGTGGAATTTTTATAAAAATACTAGGAAGTTTTAAGAGAACGATTAAGAAAAAAAATAAATAATTCATTTGCTAACAATAGATTTTTACTCGAACCCAAAGAAACAATTTCATTTGTAAATTTTCACATCAATGAAATTAATTGTAAAGTATACCGGAGCATAAAGATGTAGGGGGGGTGGAGAAAAAAAAAAGTAAACTTTTAAATTCACTTAAAGATGGTGGAGGATGGAACAGCATCGTACCTAAAGTACGGATTATATTCTTAAAACAATAGTACGAGTCTCTCAAAAGAAATTGGGTAGGTTTTTATTTATTTATTTATTTTTATTCTTTCCCCCCTCTTCTATTCTCTACGTTATACAGGTTCTTTACAGACCATATCGCATGAGCCAGACTGTACTAGAATACAAAGACGTATTTTGAACCCGAATATCTTTAAAATTATGCAAAATAGTGTTATCTTTTTGTATCTTTTATAAAATATAAGCTTAAAGGTTAAAGCTTGATATAGATTTTTATATTTAAAATAAATAAATAAGGTAGTATAAGTCATTACTACCAATTAATCTTTATTATCCTTTTTTCTTACGCAATAAGCCGTATTATCTTTAATTAAATATGTATTTTAAATACATTTTTTGGGTCATATAACTCTATAATAAACGGTTACGTCACGACGATAATCAAAAATTAATTAATTCTAGAATTGATTAAGTTTTAAGTCAATTATACAGGTAAAATTTTATATTTAAATATTATCTATTTATTTATTCTTCTTCCCCCCCTCTTCTTCTCCTTCGCCTTCTTCTTAAACAGGAGGAGGGGGGGTGATTTTTAGATGAAAATTTTTGAAGATCGCTTCGGTGAGTATTTTAAAAAACCAGTTACATCATCGTTAGTTATCTACATCACACACGTTTTCACGTATTGCGTGGGCGACTCGTATATGACGTCAGGATTCTGTCCTAAATTCTTCTTGGCGAAGGGATATATATAATGTATAACGTGCCGAAATTCTAAACTGTATTATTAATATATTAAATATTAACTTAAATAAATTGTGAGAATTTTTTATTTATTTATTATTTCTTAATTTTTGGTTAAAGGCGTGTCGAGGAAAAAGTTCCGAACAACTTTACGAAAATTATCTTGTCTTGATTATTATAGCTTCTGCTGTATAAGAATGAAGATTAGAATTACTTCGTACATTTCTACAGACTGAATGAAGAATGAAAA